ACTCTATATTTTTTTTTTTCTAGTTTTAATGTTATGAGTTTATATATATTGTTTATTGCAACTTTTCTTAATTTCTTACACGTAAAAATTATACTCCACCTCAAAAGTACTTAATTAGATGAATGTAATATCTCTAAAACTGCATTAGCCTAGAATTGAGGGTAATTTATATTAATAATGACGTTGTAGGTGACTCATCTTGAACATTTGACATTTATTGTTTTGTCGACAATAAAATTAAGTTCAATAAGTTTTTGACTTTTTATCACGTCTCATAATGCACCATCAAATTTAATTTGTTATTTTTTTTATTCTTAATAACATGATTTATAATTACATAAATATACATAAAAAAATTTTAAAATTTATGTTTAATCAAATAAGTAGAGTCTAATGAATTGAAATATAAAGAATACTATTTGTTTAGCTTTTTGATAAAATAATGGAAAATATAGAATCAAGAGATAAATAAGTTTCGTAGTTGCCTTTGCTATTCTCCCAAGAAACCCAAAGTAATGAAATAACATGTATTCCAAACGGATCTCCATAAAAGGTGGGCTAAGATATACAATGGATAATGTTACCAACTTTTAATTATAAACCACGGTTTGATTTAACTGACTCTCAAAATTTTAACGATATTACATAAATTAATATGAAAATAATACTTTTTTTTTATTGAAAAGTTCATTGAGATGTGAGAAAGTTCTCTAGGAAGATGCTTGTAGTGAAAATTGGAACAAGAAAAGAAGCTAGAAAAGCAAACAAAAAAGGGAAAAAAATGCACCACATGACTGAATCTTGTAGAATATAGTTTTTTTTTAATTGATTATTGATAAATTATGATTTTAAACATTATAATATCTGACTGAGCACATTTAAAATTTAAACATCAAAAGAAAAAGACTTCAAACTCAAATCGACTATAATGATTTTATTATCTCTATTTCTTTGACTATGGATACGTGGAATTATGAAAATTTTATTGCAAGTATTGTCGTAGAGAGCATGCTAGATAATATTCTTTTTTTCCACCAGTTAAAATGCTTTGAATTCTTGTTGTTACTTGGTCGCTATTAAATTTATAGTTTAACTATTTTTTATTTAATTATTTACTATTTGAAACTTACTTATGTGACTAATTCAGATTCACACATCCACGTAGTCTGTCAAATGAGGAAGTGCTTCCTATTGGGGTGGGCATTCAGTTCTTCGGTTCGGTTTTATTAAATTTCAATTCGGTTCCTCGATTTTTGGTTTTAGAAAAATGTTCGCCGTAGATTAAATCAAACTAATTCGGTTCGGTTTTTTCTACTTCGATTTGGTTTAGTTCAGTGTTTCTAAATCGTTTTTTTGATGCGTATGAAAAATAAAATAGGACTAAATCAAAGTATAAGATACTTAAATTTAAAAGTATGTTAACGAATGATGTGCTTCGCCATGGAACACTTATTGTGCTAACTAAAAGCCTATTTTTATCTTTGTCAAGAACATTGTGCCTCCAACTACTTCTCAAGAAAAACAAGGACGAAGATGGGTTCCTTTACATAACGTACATTGATAAAAATATGTTTTGGTTCCTCTTGAGAATTAATATTTGAAGTTAACTATTGAATTGTACATTTGTTGCTACTTTGATTTGTTCATTAATCATTTAATTGTTAGTTGACTTTTAATTTTTAGTTTAGTGAATTTTATTTTTATTTTAAAAAAAAAAAAGTTCGGTTCTTCGGTGAACCGAAATTCTGAGACCCTTACACCAAACACCGAACCGAAGAACTGAACTTTTGAAAAAAAATAACACCAACACCAAACCGAAGAACCAAATTAGTTCCTAATAGTTCTTATTATGCCCACGCCTACTGTTCCTATAGTTCTTATTATTCTCAAAATTTGAACTCAAGACCTCTAATTAAAAAGGGAAAAATTTCATTCATCTCATCACAACCGCGTGAAAGTATAATTAATTCATTATACGTTAATTAACAAATCCAAATTGAGTTTATATGGATGTTATTCTAACCTCCGTACTAAAGGTTTGCGCCTATTCTATTATAAAATTAAAAAGTATAATTAATTAATTATACGTTAATTAACAAATCCAAATTAAGTTTATATGGATGTTATTCTAACCTCCGTACTAAAGGTTTGCGCCAATTCTATTATAAGATTAAAAAGTATAATTAATTCATTATACGTTAATTAACAAACCCAAATTGAGTTTATATGGATGTTATTCTAACCTCCGTACTAAAGGTTTGCGCCTATTCTATTATAAAATTAAAAATAATTAAGAAACAAGACTAAAAGAGAAATAACAACCACTTCAATAATTAAATTAGAAGAACAACAACCTTGACAAGACAACACAAATAATAATTTAGCTAATAATGGGGAGAAAACTACGTAATGTTTTGGTTGGTATGATATATAGTTGATGATATAATATTTGTTCATACTAACTACGTATACAATCAAGAATCAACCAAACCGAAATGAGTTGTGATACGTAAATCCCTTCATTCTTAATCAAAAGCTTTTGATCGGTTTGAGCCTATGAAAAAGGAATTTTTTTATTGAAAGCGTCGCTACAGAAATGAGCACTGTAAGTATCAAATATCAGGCGAAACCAAAAAAAAAACAACTACAATCTACTAAGATTGGTGTTTGCTAACAATACTATGTTAATTAGTTTGTTTTCTTACTTACTCTACACATGCTCCTTTTTATAGTTTTATATTTTAAATATTTTTAATAACCATTGTTAGAGCATGATTTTATCAAATTAAAGAGAGCAAATAATATAGAAAATGGAATAATAAACCGGAGAAAAGAGTTGGATATTAGTTAATATGTCTAAGATCCCTTATCATGTGCAATTTCCCATTAATTAATTGTTTAAACATAATTGATTCTAATACACATGCAGTCGTTTTACACTTCATCATATTATAGTATTTGATAAATAAATATGATGCTTAATGTCATTGACTAAATTTAAAGAGTTTTTAGCATGATTGAGTCTGTCATAATTAGAGTCAGATCTCTCATATTGATTTAATCTCTTCATGGTTAGATGATCATAATGATGTATATTATGACTCTCATATATTTGTTCATAATAATATAAAGATTTTAATGATAGCAAATTAATCATTGTGCAAGGTAATCGTTAGCTTATTCTCCATCCATCTCAAATTATGAGTCATTTTCTTTATGAGGAATTTAAAAAAAGAAGAAGATCAGTTTACATGTATTTGTATCTAAAATATAATATTTCTTCATTAAATATTTACTTATAGATGAAAAATAAGTAACTAATTGTATCTTGAACTTCTAAAGTGATTAAGTGACATATAATTTGAGATAATTATTTTTAAAATCATGACAAAAATCATTACTATTATTTTTGACAATTTTACGTAAAGAATTTAATAAGCATTAATGGAACTAATTAATTCAGATTCTTATATTCTTAGCTTTTCTCGTATAATATCATTAATTTTACAAGCTTGTCATCTACTAGCTAATGGTACGATGAATTGTTGGAATATTAATTAGGTGGATTCTAATATCATGTTGTGTAAAAATAATAGAAGATGGAGATAAACATGAAATACTCTTATATCATTGAAAAAGCTTTATTTTTAAAATCGTTACATAGTCATAATTTTTCGATAACAGGATTCATAATATAAAAAAACTCTAAATTAAATGCAATAAGAAGTCAATGATTCGTATGTATAGTACAATTTTTCGAAATTAAATACTCCTTGGATAAGTAGATAGTTCCACTAATATAACAACATAATTACAAGAGAGACTTTTATAGGTTAGATTTGACAAGAAACACTTCTAATTAAACTCACATTTAATAAATGATTTTACACGCACTATGAACTTAGCCGTAATTACATAAAATCATACCTAAATAAGTTAAGAAACCACATACCTAAAATAATTAAATTAAGGAGATAAATGAATCTAGACACTTAACATTAAAAGTACTCTACTATTTCCCACATGAACTCATCATCGCTTGCTATTCCTCTCAGAATCTTGTTTTTCACTCAGTATTCAATATCATTTTTAAGTTCCGAAAAATATTTAAATTTGCATTGAAAATCTTACATTAAGAATATAACAATGTTCTCCAATAAATACAACTTCATGTTTTAAGTTTTAGCTTATGAGTACTAACTAATGGTGTCAATTGGACCAAACATTAGAACTAATTTTATGCTGAGAAGGGGACCATAAGTTAAAAATGGGTTGACAAATAAAAAGTGGAGGCCCAATCAATATTGTTACATTCTTTTTGTTTGTCTAATGGTGAACAATATATATATGTACCAACAAAATATGAAACTAACTGGAAAAGTGAAGGAAAGACAATATTTTTAACATTACTTTCACAATGAGAGAAAAGATAAAAGTTGTTTCTTTTCCAAAAAAATGTATAAAAGTAAAGAAACTGTGTCCATTAACATTATTTCACACCCTTCACTTATTTTGTCCACATGGTGTTATTAGTTAGTGATTGGAAAAAAAAAAATGGTGGGGAGAGAATATTGCAAGTTGCTCCTTATTGGTAGAATAACTAAGACTGGTAAATTAATTAGCTCATAAAAATATAATCAGTTGAATTCGTCCACGTTTTGGTGTGTTAATGATCTGCCCATGTGTTAAATGAAACTCATTTTTACTTGTACAATTCAATCTAAATTTTGGTTAAATATATAATCAAAGTTGATCCATGAACAATCTTAAAAATTCTTTTAAATGTGATATTATTAAACATAATTATAACAAAGAAAAAAAATGTTGGGTAAGTAAACAACTTATAAGAAATTACATCAAAATTATGTAAGAATCCTATTAACTCGTTCGTTTTGACCCCTCTTAATTCAGTACAATCCCAACTCCATTTGACATCTTTTAAGCATAATCGTAGATCTTTTATATATTGATATATTATACATCACGAAAAACAGAGAAAATTAGCAATTATGTGCACATACATTACAACGTAGGCACATTTTTGGTACACTTGATTAATTTTACTAGTGTTGTTGACATACCAACAAGACAAATAAAAGTACTTTTAATTAACTAAAACACTAATTAATCACTTGTTGACATGACGACAGACTTTCCTAATCTCCCCTTGATCACCACTTAGTGGATTATTTTCCGACAAAATAATCAAAGATTTAGCAAATTGATCATTAAAATAAGAATTATTAGCAGCAAATTTCTCCACAAATGGATAAGTTGTTGGATCAGACACTAATTGTTGGTCCACAATTAATAACCCTTTGTTGCTCATAATGTTTTTGTAATACAAATTATCCCACACCATTGGATTTATATGGTCATTTCTAGCATATTCAACTGCTTTCGGGTCGGGTTGTGGTGATGGGCATCGGGTTTTGAGGTAGTTTGCAAAGTCCGGGTCAAGAGTCGGGTCAACCGTCGGGTAGAGTCTGTGTACTATGTTTACACAATGAACTCGTCCGACCGTGTGCGCCCCTGCATCATCAATCGATCACCATTATATTTCGAAAAGTCAACTGAGTTTTTCTTTTTAAAAAAATAAATCGAATTAATAACTATATTGACTTATACTAGTCATACAATTCCTCTGTCATCTCACTTTATGTGACACTTTTCATTTTTCAAAATTTAGATTATGTAAAATTGTAAAGTATTGACGTGAGAAATGCTTTGTATAGTTTTTGAATATTTTAGTTTTAGAACATTAAGTTGATATATAGAATCCGATTGCTTCAAAGATTAGTCAGACTGACTCTCGAGAAGCAAAAGGTATCACATAAATTGAGACGGAAAAAATAGTATAAGAGAGGGTGGTTTACCAAGTAGAGCAACAGTTCCTTGAGTATCGACACCAACAGAATTGAATCGAGAAAGAACTAAAGACATTGAATCATTGTGATTTGGAAGGAAACTCTCAACTTCTGCTAAGTAGCTATCTTTGCTGTCCCATCTGCCTGTTTTAATTTCAATTTGTGGCCCTCCTAACTATGTCAAACACGCAGAATAAAATTAGCTTGTGAAAATATGATTCGTTAAATACTTTTAAATTTGGATAAGTTAATAATAAAAGTTAGGGTCAATAAATCTAATTTTTTTTAAAAATAATCTTTCTTTAGGGTTTGAGATGTTATGCTTAAATAAAGAAGTAGAAAAAAAATTACTATTAATTTTTGTTTTTGGTAAGTGAACAAATTAAATTTGGTAAAAAGAAATAGACAAATTAGGCTATAACCCATTGTTAAATCTATTTTCAGCTGGCCCAACTAATTTTTGGACATAATTGGGCAAAATTACTCTTGGTGGTCTTAAACTTTTTACCTTGCTTGTCTCATGAGCAAAACTTCACGCTCAACAGAGTTTGACTTTGAACTTTGAATGCTTAATTGCTCATGTGGTAAGTGGGATTCAAAATTTTAAAATCACCAATTTTCAAAGTCGTTCGATGTAATTTTTTGAATGACTCATTCATTGATTCAATTTATTTTAATCTGTTCAAATTCAATCTAGACGACCTATTTGTCATTCCTAATATGTAAACCATATATATATACTTAATTTTATAAGAAAAAAAATAAAGTTGATGAGAGGAGGCTAAATACATTTAACTTACCATAACAATACCATCCCTAGCAGAAAGAGCAACAATATCAGCACAAGAAACAATATTGGGACATTCATTCTCAAGAGCCTCTTTGATAGTTTCAATATACTTGAAATTTCTCATCCCAAAGTTTCTTTGAGATGTCTTCTCTGATGTTTGTTCCTTTGTTTTGTCCAACAGTATTGATGCATCACATGACTTCACCAACAATATTCACCATTTAATATAATCAGGAACAAAAATGTCACATTTCTATATTTGATAAACTGGGGTCATTTGGTTATTGGGCTTGGGATATGAATCTAGATATAAAATTATTTGAATTATATTATGTATATTTTTCCCGTGTTTGATATTGGTATTAGCTATAATATTGAAACAAATTATATACCAATATCTTGGTATGTCTATTTATTTCATATTCGATGTGAGATTACAATCGTAGAATAACCTTATTCCGGATCAAATGACCCCTTAATAACATGAGCTAGCCATAAAAATGACATGACATGACATGTATAAATATCACAAATTCTTTAAGGTACTTTTGTTATATGCACTAAATTATTTTTTTTTTAAAAATATCTTTTAAATTTTACGTCCAGTCAAACATAGTCGTATAAAATATATATTACCTTAACCATGCAATCATGAAATAGATTTCTGATCCAAGAAACGGCAGTATTCCCATGCTTGTGGTACAACTTGTTGACTTGTTCTTTTATGATTTCTTCAGCTCTTGGGCAACTCTCTGAGTAGTAATTTAACTTGAGATCACTTTTTGCTGAAATAAAATCAACAATTACCACATATATATTGTTAATAATTCATAATTACAACTAGAAAAAGGAAAAAAATAAATATACTTGGACAAAAAGGTCGTTTTACTTCTAAGTAAAAAAATAAAATTGAAGTTATATAAATGAAAATAAAGCTTTAGAAAAAACTCGGAATATTTACATAATATCATGCCACTTCAATAAGTAAATCTATTTAATAGCATTAATTGATAATATGAAATAAATGGTAACTAACCTATAGCAAGTTACTCTTTCTTTTATGTGTCCTAATTTATGTGAAGGGGTTCGGAATACGGGGTCAAAACACTAAAGTTCGACCATAACTAATGTTATAAAATATTTTTTACTAAGTTTAAAAAATTATAGTAAAAACGAATTGTTTAACACCAAATCTCAGTAACACATTCACATAAATTAAAACAGAGCGCATATATTTTGATAACTTCATTATACTATGAATGTATATAATTTAAGCCAAAGAATAATAGATAAATATAAGGGAAGAAGTACCATAATGAATGTGGAGGAGTAACACTAAAAATAGAGTGATGAATGTTGATGAGGGACCAAAATGTTGGGTTTTTGTGGCCATATCTCTAGTCTTGTAATTTTCCTCTTAATATCAAATGCCCAAAATGCCAAATCCTTATATAGTAAAATTAAAGTTTATGTTAGTGTAATGTAAGTGGAAGAAGGATTAAAATGCAAGCATAGTTCCACTAAGACACTATATTTGACCTTTAATTTTAGCTACAAATATTCACCCACGCATGGATTTCTCCCACTGAAGGCAACTACTCTCAGATATATATATATACCGAAAACGTAAATATCACTCGTTCGAATCCATATTAAATGAATAAGTAAATTGTTCAAAATTCAAGAAAATAATTAATTTTTCTATTTCATATTTGCCCTTCAAGATTCTTCACTACTTAACATTTTCTAGGAGAATAGTTTGAAATAATCAAAAGGGTGATGGTATGTAGAAAATAGCATTTTATTTATGTCCTAACATATTTTTCTTAAGAGGTGTGCCACGACCGAACATTTCACTTAATATGGACTAAAAAGAGAGTATTATTTTTCAGTCTATAAGAATTAGACATTGACAAAACATATATGGACCAACAAGGATTGAGGTGGAGTGGTAAATACTCCTTCATCGAGTGCACCTGAGTATATAGTCGTCTTTGTTAGGGAGTGCTTTACACTTTACCCCAATATGGGACTTTTCAGAGCGAAAACGAATTTAATTAGATTCCAATATTTGTTTTTATCGGACTTCAATGTGAATACCGAACTCGAATATGAAACAAAAATAAACGTCAACATATCTGGTCCATCAACAACTAAGGTCACAATAGACAAGAAGAACATTGATTATTTATGGAATAATATGTTTGACATTTTGTATGGCTTTGCCACCCCTTTTGTTGGTGAAACAAACAATAACCACAATTTAGTGGGAAATTTCATAGTGGGGAGTGCAGCATTGTTATCAAATATTGAAAATCACATAACTAAGAGGGTGTTTAATTGGCTTAAAAATTAGTCAAATATATTTTTAAGTCAGTTTTTGACTTCTGGAAATGTTTAGCAAATATAAAATTAACTTAAAATAAGTTTAAAAAATGACTTAAAATAAGTTAGGAAGTGTTTGACAAGGTTAAAAATAACTAAAATAAGTTTAAAATGACTTAAAATAAATTAAAAACCCAAAAATAGGTCTCCCCTACTTTTATTTTTTAACTTAAAAGTCATTTAAATTTGACTTTTTATTTGTGATTTAAAAATTACTTTTTTTAATCCAATCCATACGAACTCTAACTTCTCATAGCTTGACGTGTGCTTGTGATATTGTCCTTTAAGAATATTTCACTCAATTTGGATGCATTTCTCAATATTCAATAAGCTTGTCAGGTAAAAAAAATAAAATAGAAATGAGAATCTACCAAGATTTTTTATTATAGAAAACCAGTAAAAAAGAATCAAAAAAGAAAGAAATTCCCATACAGTAACTCACTGTTTTTCACTCCATTCTTATCCAATCTCTATTTTCCACTTCCTCTTTTATTTGGTAACTAAATTTGTATTAATCGCCAAGCGTCAACATTACAATACCATAGTCAGTATAAATTTATATAGGAAAAGACTATATCAAAATCTTCCAACATTTTAAAACAAGAGTTAAGAATAGTAGTAAATGACCATAAATACAATTGATTCCACCAAATTAAATTTACGAGATATTGGCATCAGTTATGTTTGATAAAAAAAAAAGTAATGGTAGATAATGTAGTCTTTAAAGGCTAATAAAAATGTCATTAATTCTTTTGAGTAAAATTAATTAGAGAAATTTCTAATAATCCTTAATTTTTTTAATAATATTTTTCTAACAAATATTAACAAGTTGTGTGAACCACGATATTAAGCTATGGTTAATATGACTTTTAGGGGTCGTTTGGTGTAAAGGATAAAAACAAATATATAGTGATGGGATAAAAATTCTGTTTCTTATTTCGTTGTCATGTTTGGGATAATTTATCCCACCATTTAATACCATAATGATGGAATAAGTTATTCAGGTGTAGCTAATTCCAAAATAACTAATTTTGAGATAACTTGTTCTCAACCAAACGACCCCTTAGTACTACCAAGCGTGCACTTACCCCACTATTATTTTTTGGCTGAATTCATGGGTGACCTCCTAAAGTTGTCATCAACTTTCACTTGGACATTTTAACTAGACTTTTAGACACCTCTTATCATGTGTTGACTTGTCATTTTGACACATTTTTGGCAACCAATCAAATGTGTAATATACTCATTAATGGCGTGTCAAAATGACGAATTAAATAAAGACACGTGGTATATATAGTGAAAATAATTCTTAAATAATAAATTTTGAGTAGAAAATAAAAGGGAAAAGTGTTCGAAATAGATCTAAACTTTGACCGAATTGCTGTAATAATCCCAAACTTTGGGCAGGACCCTGCCCAAAGTTTGGAATTGTTAAAACGATTTCGATCGAAGTTCGAATATATTTTAGATCTGGCAACTTTTTATCCAAATATTTTTTAAAAAAATTATCCACTTGCACAGCAATTCCTATGTTTTTTCTCCACCGCCCCACTTGCACAATCATTCCTATGTTTAAGATTGAAATATCTTGGCGCTCAAATCCGTTTCTTCCTCTGTAGTAGCATTGGATCTATTTCTTCATGGAAGGAGTTTAAGTTTTAGGAAATGGGGAAGAAAAGAAGAAAAAAATAAAATAAAAATAGATTAAATAAGCTTTCCATACGAGGGTAAGCAGTCTATAACACTCACTATGACATGTCATGAACAAAATGTGTCAAAATAATATAGCAAGATATTACATGAAGTGTCTAAAATAAACAAAGTCTAGTTAAAATGGTATAAGTGAAAATTGATGTTAACTTTAATCCTAAGTTAGCAGCATTATAACTGCTAATTAATGGAGTAAATCAACTAAATCATCAGTAAAGCATGTGGTGCTGATTTTCTTTTGTATATATAATAATAATAAAAATTGTGAGTGGAATTAAGTCTAGTTTTAAATAATGTGGTTGGATTTGTACCGTCTGTTTTTCGACCGCCAAATACAACTAAAAAGTCGTTGGAAAATTGAGACGAAATTCCGATAGATCATCGTCTAAAAAAAAATAACGAACATAAATTTGATAAATTATAATAATAGTGATGAAAGTTTTTCTTTTTACCTTAGAAGAAAAGACAAAATTGACTAAACACATTTGGCTTTAAAGTTATAATGCTCATACACAAGAAATAATTATAAGGTTCACAAAATGAGAAAATACCCATATATCATTCATTATAGTCCATAATAGATTTAAACACTCGACATAATTTTGGCAATGATCGAAGAATAAATATGTATTATGTTAAATTTTGATAAAATTTTAGTAATTGTAATAAGATGATTTAAAGTTGATTTTGTACTGTTATACGTTAAATCAAATATTATTATTTTTTATATTAGAGTGAAAACATATATTATTCCGTCACTATTTTTTTTAATAGACAAGGAAAGGCTTGATAAAGGAGAATATGTAAATAAATTATTGTTATAGTAAAGTTACATTTAAAACCATACTATAGTGCAAATTAAATGTCAATGTCCGGTGCTCATGAGATGCCTCATTTTTTGCCATGGTCAAGTCAATACGTTGAAGGATTATTCATGTTTTGCTATCGCCTTATCGAGACAAGTTTTAACTCATTAACTCATCCTTCTCAACAGTTGACTTCGTATTTGTAAACGCTATCCAGTTCAAGTCAGTATTTTGTCGAATATAAAATTTCCTAGGCTTTTTATTAACATCAGTTTTTTTGCTTCGCAATCGCTGCTTCAGACTCTAAAATAATCAGCTCAACTGTTATCTTAATCCAAATTTGTTTTCCTTTGTCTTTTACCTAGGCCAACAAAACTGCCTATCAATCCGTTGTTTTAGCCTACGGTTCTTTTTATTTTCAAGTTTTTTTAACTCATTATCATATTTATGATATTACTAAACAATTAATGACCAAAATTTTGGCAATGTGGGTGGTAGTGTACGTTACATTCACAAAATTGTTTGGGTTGGATTTAAATATACTTCTTGGCTCATATATTTTCTAATATTTCAAACAAGTATTATTTCTTGAATTGATACACATGTACCTTTAATCCTTCAGGTAGGAGATATATGACTCCACTAGGTAGCCACATATACTTAGATAACTATATATCTCTACTTGTTTGAATTTTTTCAATTTTTTCCCTAATATTTATGAGATCTAATTTGTAGCAATAGTAGAAGATTATATTTTGTCTAATTCAGAAAATATACGAAAATTTTCAACTTTGTTTCATGAAAAACACTATATGTTGTATCTATACATATTGATTTCTTCAAAATAAAAAATTTGTACAAACAACTTATTCAACGTATTTATTTATATTTGTAGAATTATTTCAAATTAATAAAATATTAATCATATGTTGGAGTATACTATCTTGGATTTCATTATAAGAAATCTTAATTATAAATTTGAAGATGAATAATTTTATTCAAGTTCCTAAAATATTAGACAAATATTTTGACAAAGGTATATTGTCATTCTTGTCGTGCGAGTGGAAAATGAAGGGAAAAGGTATATACTATTTAAATTTGTTTGCTCATTCTTTACCTTAAAATATTTTATGGGTATTTTATTTAGATATTGCTATTTATTTATGTCTAGTCGTCTATCTAATTCGGAATAATGGAATAACTTTAGATATATGGTATCTGAATTTATAAATTTTGATAAAACCCAATTTTAAATGATTCAAGTTCAGACATAATAATTTTATCATAGTTATATATAAAACTTCAGACATTTTGTTTGCAATGGGATTTTGTAAAACTAATTCCATTCACATTTTTGTGGACTGAAATTGATTTAAAGCGAATAAACATATAAATTTTATAAACTTAAAACATAACTTAAATAGTGACATTAAAATTGAGTATCTTTGCCATATATAGCCTAAAAAATATCACCTAATGGATGCCCCATATCGATAAACTTTAAACACATTATAAACTTGGCTATAGTTTAAATATTGTATCAAAAAGCAGCTACTTGGTGCTATTTATTCAATACAATCTTCACTAATGTGGCTAAGTATGCAATACCCTTTTTTCTATTTGGTTAGTCTGAATTCACATCGAATAAGCCAACTAAATAGCTCTCTACTGAAATGTTTGAATTCAAAACCTCGGATTAAAGACAGAGAAATTCCAATCATATCTTATATTTGGTTGATGAATGCAATATGTTTAAACAATATAAGTTTTAGAAAATAACTTTATGAGATAATAACAGTTAATTGAATGATCATCTGAGAAATCAACCCAGATACTCTATACACAAAATCAAGATTCTTGCATAACCACAGTTGCAACTGTTTTAGCCCAATATCTCAAATGTTTCTTCATATCAGAAGCTGCAGAAATTCTTGGTATCCTCATATTCAACAATGGTGAATTAGGCCTTTTAATAAGCCATGCCTCTGACAAATAAGGTCGTGCAATTTCCCTTTTATCATCTTCTTCTTCTCCTTCTACTACAATTGCTTTTGAATTTGAATTTTCACAATTTTTTTCTTCGTCTTCGGATATCTCTATTTCAAGCCTCTGTAATCCAGGAATTACATTTATCATTCTCTTGCTTATATGTTCTTTGCGGAATATGAATCCTAAATCCATGAAACCTCGTAATTCTTCAAGCTCGAGATCTCCAAGACTCTTGTAATTACTCAGTGTTTTCTCCAATACTCTGTTTCTTGAATATTTTTTAGGTGATAATGAATGAGACATGTTTCTTGTTGGTCTTTCCTTCTCATTGTCTTCTTCTTTTTCACAAACATCCTTCAATGACAAACAATACAACCTTAATTCAAAACAATTTAAGTTATGTACACTGACAGTAATAAATTCCTTTTCATCTATCGCGTAAAATTGAGATATTATAACTCTTTATATCAAGTCTGATATGGTAAGTTTGCGAGTAGAGAGAACAACACCTAACACCAACTCCCAATCTCGACGAAAAAAAGGAAAGAAGGAAAAACAAGTACATCCTTAACGGACTCTATTTTTTAAAATAAACAACAATAACTACTTTTGTTGGAACGAATTCATAGGCACTTTCTATTAGTTAGACTTAACGGACTATATAAGCAAAGAGTTGAAATGTGCAATAGGAAAGCGGAAAAATGAATTGATTGACTATTAAGTGCAAGCTCGTTAATTTGTTACCTGTAGAAGAATGATTTCTGATTCAACTGATGTCAGAGAGTCTTGAATAGGCAGGGGATTTTCAAGATTTTTAGGGAATGAAATTGATGGGGGTTTTGAAAAGAGAATAATTTGATGAAACCATAATTGATCCATTATACCTAACAAACCTATACTATATTTTTCTTCCATGGTTATCAAGACAAGGATGAATGAAGTTAGAGGAATTAATGTGAATTTGAAGGGGTAGAGAAGGTATCTTTTATTGGAATCAACTTAAAAAGATTTTATTATTAATGCTTTCTCTGTCTTAATTTTATGTCAAATCAAACAGTATAAGAAAATGGTATGGTTATATTGTAAGGAAATGTCAAGTCTCAATATGATCCAAAACTCTGTGGGGTTCATTTGAGAGTGGCAGATGTGGCCATGAGTAATGCTTATTCTTTTTCCACATTTTTTCAATGTGCCAAATGACAAGCTTACTCGAGGTATATTCAGAATTTCGAGAGAATGAAATATGGATGTATTATTATAAAAAAATGAATCTAAGATATAAATTAAATCTAATTGACATCATTGAACCTTTTTAACTTTTAATAGAGGTTCATCTATTTACGAATGGAATATGCATTGTCTCATCATTACTAGAAATAGAGGTTTATCTCTTCACGAATTAATGAAAAATTTATGTTATAGATTATGATTTTCTTCACCTATTCTCATCGAACCAACTCACTGAAGAAACAAACATGCCAAAAGAACAATTGACTGCCAGAAAACAAAGTTAAACAAACAAACATACCACAACTAGTTCAAATGGTCCCTCCTTAATTAATTTCATGCAGACAACCATAGAAATTAGAAAAGACAACTTTGGAGCAAAAAACAGACAATTTGAATATAGAACTTGCCATGAGCAATAATAATTATAAACCACATAAGAGGCTGCCAACTGGAAAAGAAAAGAAGAGAAAAAGGAAATAAATATTCACCTAGTCGCAATTTATGTGACACCATTTAACTTGATATAAGAAAAAAACAAACCTTCAATATTTTTGTGGCTATACGTCATTTCATAAAGAGTAAACGGAAATTTTTTAAAGATAAGTTATCTCTAATTATAGAAATGAACTAACATTCTTTTTAGGAAAGATAACAAAGGAAAGGATATCATATAAATTGAGACGGAAGAGTAAGATGACAAACTCAGAAAATAGAATGCTCAAAATAAGATTTTTTTCTTCTACTGCTTTTAAAGAGTTAATAACACTTTTGGTCCCTTAATTATTGACGAAGTATGATTTTAGTGCTTATGATATATATTACTAAGCTCATCTAACCTTCAAGTAATTTATAATTAAAACACAGACCACAGCTTACAACAAAGGGCATTTGGTCTAGTGGTATGATTCTCGCTTAGGGTGCGAGAGGTCCCGAGTTCAATTCTCGGAATGCCCCTTTCTTTTTTTCCAATGCTTTTCGACTTATACGATCTTGCATAAATTATTCGTACATATTAAATGAATTTTGCATAAATTCTCCATACATGTATTAAGAGAATTCTCACAAAATATATATTGAGAGGAACCATTACCAGCCAATTCTTGAAAGCCAACACCATCAAATGACCCAAAAACTCCTTCTCCCTCCGGCCCAATTTATGTTGCATCATTTGATAGAAGCACGAAGTTTAAGAAATAAGGAAAAACTCTATAATGTCTACCAAATTGTCCTAATTAAAGTTACTTAAGTGCTTGTTTTTTTTTTGATTTTTCTTTGCAATAAAGTGTTAAAGTAAGACCCAATAAGAGTGTCGAATAAAGGATGTCCAATGTATCAGAGACCACAAAGTATTTGAGCTTACTTAAATCCTTGTGAAATCCCACAAGTGAAGTGTGGGGAGGCAGACCTTGCCACTACCTCGTGCTCGTGGAGGTAGAAAGCCTATTTCCAAAAGACCCTCCGCTCTAATATGACTGACTAAATATTTCTTCAATTGTGTGATTTTCTCATAGTCTAATGACTATATCATCAAAATATAGGACCAGATGAGCTATAACAATAGAAAACTCAATGGTCACAATTGTCCAGTTTTTTGATAAAGTAAAGAGTAGATTTCACTCATCCAGCATCCAGAGGATGCAAATAGATTACAAAAACAACAGCTCCTGTACAATTTCAATTGGCTCCTATAAAAAATTTAAGGAGCGTACAAAATCCAAACGCGAGTCGATACTATTTACATTAGATAGTCTGCTCCAAGAAAAACAGATCCATCAGAATAGCATTGGTCTCTTTCTTTCCAAATGCACCACATGATCACTGCAGGATCCATTTTCCAGAGGTTGATGATGGATTTTCCATCTGTCCGTTTTGATCGAGCTTTCTTTCAGTACCACAAATTGTCCAGTTGTACTAAGAAGCCCTGGAGAGTATCATTTGTAGCAACATTTTTAATTTACAGTTGCAGTTTGTGATTGTGAATGAGAAAGAAAATTAGTCATATGATGGTTTGTTTGCTTCAGGAGGAGGATCACTATTTGGTAGCACCATACAATCCTCGAATTATCATTTGGCAAAATACTCTGACTTGATCCAAAATATGCAGCAAGTCTTGTAAGCTCTGGAATTACCAAAATTGTTGGTACAACAGACTGCCACAACATCACACGGGGTTGATCATCAAACTTTGACACTGGCTTCAATGTTCTGCAAGAATATCACCAAGTTTTCAAGACGACTAATGGTCTTTGACCTAGGAACCAAGTTTAGTATGACATGGTGGAGAAGAACTTCCTTGTTCAGATATTACTAAAGGATTACAATAATCTAGAGTAGATGATTCAAATAGAACCCCCTCCAGCATCCAATTTTTTCATATAAGGGAATCGAGCAGTTTAATTGGGAAATAGTAACATAGAAAGTGAATGCTCCGCGATCTCCGCAAGTCAAGAAGAGTTAAAAAAACTAAAATGTAGTACTCAAACTGCAGCAACCCACTCCAGGAGAGGTTATCATTTTAAGGTTTGTCATTGACCACGTTAAAGCCAAGCAACAGACTTCGCAATAATTCTTTTGACTCAGCCACTATATATGCAGTATGATTGTATAACAAATACCTCCCTTCTTACTTCATGATTATGATCAATATCTCTTCAAAGAAGTAACCTAATGAATTAGTGATTCAAATAGAAATTCACTCCCTTCAGTAAGAAAGTTGAATAATGGATTTAAATGCTTCATGTCAAATTCAGATCTTTTCTTGGATGCTCACTGCATCTGTACACAACAATTAACATTAATCGGGAAAAAAACAGAGAAAAAAACTGCAACAAAATGTCACCTGGCAATGAAAAATATCAGGCAGTTGTGTATAAATGGTAGCTGTTTGATACGCTTAATAAAAGCATTTACATCAGCTTCGGTACATACATTATTGAGATAAGACACAAGTACCCCCTCAAACTATACCCGAAAATCGAAATCCAAGCGACACACCTAAACTTAATTAAGGATCCTATTACCCCTAAACTATTTTATAATGAAATAAATGTCACCCTAGATGTTGACGTGGCATAATAACCAAATGAGTTTCCTCTGTGTGTATTTGCAAGCATCACATTCTCTTTTTTTTATGACAAGGGAAACCCGCAGCCGCTATCCTTTGGGTGCGCACAAGGTAAAACCCCGCTTATGCAATAGCTCACAAACCACACAGGAGAGATAACCCTCACTAGGCATGCCCGATGCGATGAGCTCGACCCAAAAGGCAAACCCCTTGCTTTCACTGGCAAGGGGTTTCGAACTTGAGACCTCCATCATGGAAGCCACATTCTTTTTAAGCATTAAATCTTTTTTTTTACCATTAAAATCCCTTTTCATTAATTGCTGACATTGCTGGTTCATTAGTTCCACAACCAGCCACTTGAATCGTTTTTGTGGTTCTTTTCCACCTCAACTTGAATCATTCTTGTGGTGAGATCTGTTTTTTCAAAGGGAAGTAAAAATGGTGAGACTACGTGTTGACATGCCAGGATTTGTACTCCTATTGATGCATGATGATCGGAGAAAACGCCGTAGAATACGACCGGAAGAGACACCGGAGAAACGGAAAGGTCATCCTCATTCTCAGCTACTGATTCATAATCCTCAACCTCAGACTCATATTAATTCTCACTAACATTCAAAGAATCCTTCCCAAAACCCAATTCTCTTAAACGCTTCTTCAGTAAGCATCGAAAATTAGGAGTTACCATAGCAGAAGCCAGAAAATGACTGGAAGAAGACATGCCATGTGAGACAAACATGAAAATGGGATTTTTCATTGGAGAAAGGAAGAGATAAAAGAGGGGTAGTGTTGGGTCTTCGAGAAAGTTGGAGTGAAGAATTGTTTTGTATAAGGGTGGGAAGGTTTATAGTGTATGAATGCTACGCCGGAGAAGACACCAATGGTTAGCAAGCAGTCAACATCAATTCTAATACATTCCTTCTATTTAGAAGATGAAGGAGTCTATTTAACTAGACTTAATTAATTAAGTAATGTCCAATTAAAAAATGACATTTGTACCTGTTAATTACTTTTAAAATTATTTTTGTAATCTTCAATTGTCTTCAAAAGAGTGTGCACACTCTCTATGCCACGTTAGCATTTATGGTGTATTTATTCCATTTTAAATTAGTTGGGGGTAATAGGACCTTAGTTAAGTTTAGGTGTGTCGCTGGAATTTCGGGTATAGTTCGGGGTGGTACTTGTGCCTTATCCCTACATTATTTGGAAAATTATCTGATGACATTGAGGCTAACTCATACTCAGAAATGGTCGAGTCCAAAAATTAACTTACAAATAAGAATTTTGATGAAAGCCTCGATCTGCCAGGCAAAAAAACAAAAGCTAAAAAGAAAGCAACTTAACAAAACAAAAATATAAATTGATAGAAGATACGAGTAATTGACTAATACAATGATCAATCACGATAGACAAATTAGCAGTTTTTTACAAGTCTTTGGAGCAGGCAAATAACTTTGACACAAAGGAGGATAGTTTACAATGGTTGAGGGCCAACAATGGGAAGTTCACAATAAAATCAGCTTATAGACATTTTGACAGGCCAGCTGAAATGTTGTTACCATGGCCTTGGAAGATGATATGGAAAATTAATGTTCCTCACAAGGTGGCTTGTTTCACCTGGTTGGTAGCTAGGGAAGCAGTACTAACTCAGGACAATCTAATGAAAAGGGGAAGACAGTTATGCTCCAGGTGTTTTTTTGTGAAATAGAAACAGAGATAACAAACCATCTCTTCCTCCATTGCAGAGTGACAGAGAAATTGTGGCAGGTCTTTTTGAATTTGAGGGGAATCAGCTGGTCCATGCCAAGACACACCTCAGATTTTCTAGCATGCTGGAATAGAGAAGGGAATACATCAGGGCACAAGGAGAGATGGAAGATTGTCCCTACTTGCATCTGGTGGACAATTTGGAAGGAAAGGAACCAGAGATGCTTCGAAAACAAGAGCATCCCTTTCCAGAGTTTGAAGTTGAACCGTCTTATAACCCTTTATTTTTTGTGTAATCATGTCCTCCCCAAAGAGGTGGAGGATATTACTCACTTTTTAGATAGTTTAGGAGGGGCATAAATGATAGATCTTTTGGTTTTGCTTACTGTATACTCCTGATGTAATTACTACTGAAATACACCATTGGTGTATTGTTGTCTATAAAATGTTAACTTTCTCAAAAAAAAAACAATGATCAATCACGACGGAAATAAAATGCATCTATGTTTATGATCAGTGATTCAGATAAATAATCAATCACAACGCAATATAACACTAAAGTAATTTTGTGAGGAGAAGGCAATGAAAATAAATAAGCATCTTTTTCCCTTTCTTTTTTCTGAAAAGATCCAAACATGTACAAATCTTGAAATTCATCGCTGGAGATACAGTTCAACTCATAGCAATGAAATAAAAGGAGGAGGAGGAAAATACCTCTTATCTATGTTTGTTAAACCCCGTACTTCCCTAGTTTTGCCAACAAAGATTTCTTCTACCCTCCTGCATGATCTCAAACGCAAGTTTATATCTTTCTAAAGATGCTGTTCCTGCCTCAATGTAATTCTTTGCTTCTTCTCTTAAGCTCCACGACATCAATGCCTTATGATCTTGAGAAGCACCCCCTGAATCGACATCACGTAGTATACCATATTTTGCATCCTTTGTCCAACGATGTAGGATATAGCGAGATGGAAGCTCCCTTATGTTCATTATCTGAAAAACTTTCAAGGCATGTCTACACAGCACACCTTCAAACTCAAACATTTTACAACTGCAACTGATGTTAATATTGGAGGCATTGAAGGCAACTGTATTCCTCTCATCTCCATTCCCACACTTCTGCACCAGATACCTACTAATGGCACCTTCAACATTTATCTTAATTCCAACATAACTATAGCACTCCAAAAGCTCTTTCTGGAACACTTTGAACGTAGTAATAGTGTAAAGCCTTCTACACTGGTCCTCTATAGGGTCCTTTGTGTGCAGAACTGCTTGCAAATTGAATGAGTTAAAATCCTCTTTTCTTTCCTCTTCACGACGTTGTTCAAGGGCTTTTTCGTACCGTATAAGAAATTCACTAAGTGGTGCTTGAGATGTCAATATTGTGCCAAAATATGACTTCAAGCTTCCGTCCGTTGGAATGCCAGCAAAGAATGTGCCTTTAATGTATAATGGCACCCAACTCTTACGCATCCTATACATATCCTTTAACCATGTGTTCTCTCTCATATTATACTTGTTAATAAGCACATTCCATGCTGCTTCAAACTCATTAGCTGTCTGGCTCTGGAAAATGCAAGTTTCATATTCATACTTAAATTCAGGATTCATCGAGAGCAATGCACCAATGTTTTCCTGCTCCTTAGCCACAACTTGCCATGCAGAAAACCGATGATGTGTTCCGGGGAAAACTTGAGCAATTGAATGTTGAATGACCCAGTCTTGATCAGCAACTATGGAGATAGGACGACGCCCTGACATTGCCCGAAGCCAAGCTTGGAACAACCAAGTAAATGACTCTTCAGACTCTTCAGCAATTAAGGCACAGCCAAGAAGTACTGGTTGCCTGTGGTGATTAACACCAATGAACGAAGCAAGTGGCACTGAGTAACTACCCCTTCTATAGGTTGTGTCGAAAACAATTGCATCCCCAAACTGAGTGCAAGAGAATCTAGACCGAGAGTCGGCCCATAATACACTCATGGCTCTACCCTTATGCATTTCCACTGCATAGAAAAATCCCATATCTTCTGCCTGCCGAGCCTGAAAATAGTCAAAAAGCTCATTATACCAATCACTTCCAATTTTACTCTCCCTGGACCTTGTAACAAGGCTAAACCCTCCATTTGATTCAACTAAATCCATATTCTCCAACCCATGGCTTAATTCTTCTTTGAATCCTTTTGATGACACTCTCTCACTAGCATCAATGGGAGCTCCAAGTTCATGGTTATGTTCATTTTGAAAACGATCAACCAACCACCTTCCTGATTCTTGTCTCTGTATCCTCATGAACGCTCCACACCCTACTCTCGACGGATGCTGATGCCCTTCTTTAGAGCAAACAAATCTCCGCGAGGTAATCGACCCATCATTCTTCGAACGAAACAGCTGACCAATCCTAACTTTAAACCCAGTATTCGCAGCATGAGTATGATAAAACTCATACGCTTCACCAGCAGAAACAAACTCCAACCCCTTATACGGTTCACTTTTAGTTTCTCCATTAATTTTCTCCCTTTTAAGACGCTTAAAATCGAGAATCCCAGATGGGCCATCCTCATCAAGTGATCTAAGTCCAGTCCTAGTTGATAAAACAGAAGCTGATTTCGATTTCGGGGTTGGGGTAGGGGTAGGGGTAACAATTTTTCTTTGAATTCGAGATGGGCAAATCTCACCTGGATGTTCAAGCTCATGATTGTGTTCCTTCTTAATATTAGCAAGTACCCATTTCCCAGAATCAAGCCTTTGCACTCTTATGAAAGCTGGACATCCCGTTCTTGAAGTAGTCTGAAACCCCTCTTTGGAACAAACAAATCTCCGGGAAACAACAGACCCATCAATCCGGGAACGATAGAGCTGACCAATTCGAATCCTAAATCCAATTTTCGTAGCATAGAGATTGTAAAACTCTTGTGCATCTTCGGCTGAATCGAACTCTAACCCAACATTTGGTTCAAGCCTCGACTCTCCTTCTTCATCAATATCGCGATGGTGACCATTATTCTTTACTATAGTAGCTATAGCTAATCCTGCTGCTGGTTTTGCTCTAACAGTCATCGTATTAACAATCTCTTCTCTACTCATATCAATATCTATTGCATATCAATTTCACGGTCGACGGCCGGCGGCGGCGGAAAGATTTGGACTTTGGAGAGAGGGGGTTTATGTCCTCTGAAAAATTGTGTCGCAATCGGTTCACTTTTGTCTTCTATGTACTTTTTTTTTTCTTTACACTCCATGCTGAACTTTTAATATATATATATATATATATATAAATGATAAAATATATTCCGAAGTTCGAATTATCAAAAATAATATAGCTATACCCTTAGTTATACTATTGAGACACTTGAATCTTTGTCATCCAAAAAGTGGAGTATTTGTATCATTTACAATAACAGATGAACAAATGCCATCATATCTTATGCATCTACTCAATTATTCACTTAATTTTAACCCAAAAGAAAACCATTCAATTTATTTTTTTAAATCGTAATTATCTTACTTACTCACTCATTAACACCCAAATAATACACCCAAATCAAAACACCCCCAAGTTCTTCTTCATTTCTCCTTCAGACTAAATAGCTACTTTGACAATGTTGGTATAGTGATGATAAAAGATCTGTTTATGTAAAGAATTAGTGTCCTCCAAAAAGTACAGTCCATTTTATTTTTGACATCATCATGTAGGAGTGCTTTTGAGCTATTTGTTTGAAATCATCATGTAGGAGTGTTTTGATTTGGGTATATTATTAGGGTGTTAGTGAGTGGGTGGATTAGATAATTACTTGGGCGGGTTTTTCTTTAATTTGGATGGTTTTTCTTTGTGGATTAAAATTAAGTGAATAATTGGGTAGATGCACAGGATGATGACACGTGTCCGTCTTGTTAGTGTGAAGGATACAAGTGCTTCACTTTTGAACAGTAAAGACTGTGGTGTCTCAATAATATAACGATAGATATACATAAAACATTTTTGATAATCCGGGGTATATCTGTCCTTTTTCCCTATATATATGTAGAAATTATATAATCAAAAATGGAAATTTTACATGCTAAAAAAATTGTCTCAATATTGAGTTGGTGTAGTAGGTAGTTTTGTATAAAGAAGGTTAGAGATCAATTTTTCTTGTCAATGCCTTCTTAGTCGAGTTCGTCACACTAAACTTGTTTAATGCGAATTCACATTTTATTTGTAACTTACAAGTTATGCGCATACGAGCGGATTATATTTCATGTGTGATTTACTAGTTATATGTATGAGAGTGATTGAGTGAATTTACTTGATGTATACTTATAAGATAGTGGCTCCAAAATTTTCTCGAGATTTCAAAAAAAATTATTTTGTTCTTTGTTCTTTTTTAAAAACAAAAACTAAATATTTTTCGCCATTTTTCTTTTTGCAAATTTTTTTTATAATTATTTTATTTACTTTTAATAATGGGGATCACGAATGATTTTAAGTAAGTTTGGAAATCAACTTCTTTATTGAAAGAAGGAAGAAATACCTTTTTCTACGCTCACTCTTTCAAGACTTTTATTTGTAGGTTAATCTATTTAACTTTTTCTTGCAAATTTTCTCTTTTTTGCTTTCTAAACAATGTAAGTTTATTTGTTTATGAATTCTTTGTGTATGAATTAAATGTGCAATGGGACCCTTCTTTGATAAGGATTGCTAAAATCTTTCATTTATATATATATATAAAAAGTTTCTAATTAAGTTCGATTTGGGAAGTGGAGTTTTAGTAAGTGAAACTCATTTATAGTAAAACATTATGTCATTTCAGTTAGTTCTAAAGAAGAAAATAGATGATTTGTTGAAGCTTTCCCATCTTTCAACTAAGGTTCAATGTAAGGAAAAAAGTTTTTTTTCGGGTTTATCATCCTATTAATTTTGTCATAATTTTTTTTGTATGAGTATTTCATATCCTTTAAGTTTTCATCATCGATCATTTGGACGGACAAGTATAGACTATGATAGAAAAGCAGAAAAGACTGAAATCATTGATCACCACTTGGTAATGCGTATTGCATCTCCTCAATGAAATAAAGTCGTCTTTATATGATCGATATAAGCACTAAATCGTAAGTGGAATAATGATCAATTGACGTCGTCTTTCACTGACAGAGAAGAAAGAGAGAGTGCACTCTCCAAGTTAAAAATGATTGTTAAAGAAAAAATTTACAAGCTAATCTATCTGCTGTTATTATTATTGATCCATTATTATCAAGTATTACTGCTAATAATTATTATTAATAATCATATTATCACTATCACTATTCATTAAGGTAGTTAGAAGTGTGCATTTGATTTTCCAATTTGATTTTGTATTATTTGATTTCAATTTTCAATTTTGAAATAATCCAATTCGAATAAATTTGATTTGATACAAACAATTTTGCGATCAATTATCACTATAAATAACTTACTATTCATAATTATCAACACTAATCATCACGATCATCATCAATCATCTAAAAAATGACCATCATATATAACTAACCATTGATATCAATCGGACAATCACTATTACCAATAGTTATCAGCAGTTCAACACCTTTTATCAAAATTATCAGGCATAATACATAAATATGATCCTTAAGTTGGCGTCAACTGACAACTATGACTTTTAACTTTGGGTGTGCACACGTAGACACTTAAACTTGTATAAAATTAAGGGGAAAAGGACAAATATACCCCCGAACTATTGTAAATGGTATGCAGATACCCTCCGTCATATTTTTGGGACATTGGTGCCCCTGCCGTCTAAAAACTAGAGCATATATACCCTTATACTGACGGATATACACGTGTCATAATCTTATCCACCAACCCGACATTTATTAAACATCGGATCGACGGATAAGATTGCGTCACATGTCCCTATTTAGTCTTCTGTTAGAGTGAAGGGCATCTATGCTCTAGTTTTTGGATGGCAGCCGACAGGGGCACCATTGTCCCAAAAGTATGACGGAGGGTATCTGCATACCATTTACGATAGTTCGGGGGTATATTTGTCCTTTTTTCCCTAAAATTAAACAAATAGACACATTCGTCCTACATGACAATTTTGTGTCCTATGTGTATTATATCATGTAGGACACGTGTGTCTACTTATTCAATTTTATACAAGTTTGAGTGTCTACTTGTGCACACTCAAAGTTGGAGGACATAGTTGTCCGCTGAAACCAAGTTAAAGATCATGTATATGTATTATGTCAAATTATAAATTGTCTTCACCAACTACCATTGTCATTGCTAGCAACTATCATCAACCTTATCACCACTAATCACTACCTATATATATATATCCTATATATAAATTATCAACCATCGTCACCCTCGATTCTTCGTGAATGGTCACAACAACTATCGTTATTATTAGCAATCGCAACCACCAACCATCATATACTAATATACATTTGTTTTTATTAATAAAGTACTAAAAATAGTTGTATTTTATTTAAATTCTTCATTTAAAAGAAATATTAACACTATAGAAATTAATTTGAATACTATTTGTTCCTTTAAATAATAATAATAAAAAAACCCAAAAAAACCCTGTAATAATATATTTTTTTCAAAATCTCCAGTCTGTATTATGAAGTGTTGTTTTCTCCATCTGCAAAGTAAAATTCCTCTTCTGTATTATTTCTTGATCGGAGAAAACTGTAATCTTCATAGAGGTTGAAGAAGAAGAAGAAGAACAATGAGTGTAATTGATATTCTCACAAGGGTAGACTCGATCTGTAAGAAATACGACAAGTACGACATCGATAAGCAAAAGGATTCCAACGTTGCCGGCGACGATGCCTTCGCTCGTCTCTATTCTTCAGTTGAATCCGACATAGAAACGGCTCTTCAGGTTTAAAAAAGTGATCTTTTTACTTTTTCTTTTGTGGGTTTGTGTTTTAGGGTTTAGTTTCGGACAATTGAGGATTTAAAGATCTTTTTTTTGCGGTTACAGAAAGCGGAAACAGCTTCTAATGAGAAAAATAGGGCATCTGTTGTGGCGATCAATGCTGAGATTCGGAGAACTAAAGCGAGGTTACTCGAGGAGGTTCCGAAATTGCAGAGATTGGCTGTGAGAAAGGTGTGGTTTTAGTTTTGAATTGTTTGTTTTTAGCTGATTTGGTTGTGTAATTGTGTTGAATTTTGCTGATGGGTTATATTGTACTTGGATTTTGTTGATGTTCTGTGGAATATTTAAGGGTTATGTTAATTTGGTTGATTTGGCTCTGGATTTTGATAGAAAGTAAGATTAAAGAAAGATCTGGGAGGGATGGGGTGAAAAGTGAGATTAAGGAAAGATCTGTGAGGAATTATAAAGAGAATGGATATATAGGATTCACATAGTTGATCGCAACAAGTTTTTTACTACACTGTAGTTGATTGATTGACTGACAGTGATATAGTGTATTGTTGGGTCATTTGCTTTGCGGAGGGGATGTGTGTTGATCAGCCTGCATACTTGTAGAAAAAGGGGCATTGCGGTGGAGGGTGTTACCTATTATGCCGGAAGTTGTGTAATTATTAACACTGTCTTTGATATTCGTTTCTCCCCTTTTAATGGTTCAAGAATATGATAGATAGTCCTTATCAAAAAGAAAAATGGATAGCAATAGGGAGTTTGATCGACAGTATGAGCACCAGGTTTTGATGCAAGGCATTACGATTCTATTTTACGTAACAAAGGCCCAAAAGTTATAGGATTTAGTTCTCCTATCCTATTCAGCAACAAAATGTCCTATAATTTGGATCCCCGTAGTCCAAGTTGCATGGACTCATCACTTTTGATGCCGCACCTGTGTCGGGTTCTCCAAAAATACACTTCTTTTGGAGAATCCGAAGTGTATTTTTGGAGAACCCGACACGCACCCGTTGACATTTTTGAAGAGTCCGAGCAACATAACCCGTAGTTATTTCAAATGGAAAACCCACATGAACTCAAGGAATCTGCAATTTTCCGTTCTATTAGCCTGATGCCCCTAAAGCTTAGTGTTGTTTTGTGGTTGAGTACATGACTACCTTCCAAATTTGCATTCTTTGCTTTACTTTTGGAGTGATATACTTTAAGTGTTACTTTTTTTTTTTTTTTGATGACAAGGGAAACCCGCAGCCGCTACCCTTTGGGTGCGCACAGGGTAAAACCCCCACTCCTATGCAATAGCTCGCAAACCACATAGGAGAGGTAACCCGCACTAGGCAAACCCGGTGCGACGAGCTCGACCCAGAAGCAAACCCCTTGCTTTCGTTGGCAAGGGATTTCGAACTTGAGACCTCCAACATGGAAGTCCCAAGCCCAAACCACTACCATGTTAAACGTTGCTAAATCAAAATTTGGCTGTCCAATAGGTAAGAAAAATAGAAGGCTCACCAAATCTTACACGAGTCTAACAATTCAAATTCCTGAAACCATGTCACTTGTTGATGACAATCGTGTTCATGTACTGCTTCGGGCTTCCCTATTTCAGATTTTGTTAAAATACTTTGTTAAGCCTAGAAAATAAGGTTGTTCATTCAGTTAGTTTTCAGTTATTCTATTATCTTACACTATCACTTGGTTCCTCAATTTGAGTTTGCTTTGTTTATTTCAGTTTGCTCTTTTGGTTAGTGTGATTTTTATTTTCGATCCGGAGATAGGTTGGGATTCAAGAGTATATAAACAAAAAATGCAAATGGTCATGCTGTTTCCTCACTTCAGTCTTAAGGAAGAGAACTATATCTATGAGAGAGAGATAAAAAGAGTAGGTGGGGAGAGAGAGATGGAGGTGATGTTGCATTGGACTGTTGACTCGGCATTTGCTTGAAATTCCAAGAACAATCTGAGAGAAGGCCGTCAACGGTCAAGCTAATGGGAAGTGGGAACTAGAGTTTAAGGGAGTGGGAGAGTGAGATGAAGAGGGCTGAGACAAGAATGGAAGTAGAGCACAAACTCAGTTGCCTAAAAGAGACTGAGAAAACTCTAATATTGCTCAATCCTATTACGAAAGAAAACAAATATGGTCCTTTCAATCATTTTTTTTTCTTTTTTTTTTTTGTTTTCCTTGGTTAGATTGAAGCAACATAAATATTTGCACATACATTATATAGCGTTCAGGGGATTTTGTATTTTTACTTATCATCAATTGTTTTCTGATTTCATGTCCATCTACATAAAAGTTAACTAAAGATAATTAGGAAGATATTGAGCGAAGTGACTTGAGTATGGGAGTGTGTGTGATAAAGTGCCAAACCACTGGATCAGAGGTTTTGAATCAATGGTATTCCATCAGATTGAGGGATTAATAGTTTGAGAGCCTCCATGTGTATATCCAAAAATAATTAGATAGATAGAAGTGAGAATGCACCCCCTCCCAAAACAAACCAAGAAGCTTTTGATTGTATTCGAGAATTTGATGAGAAAAATTTGAGACTCATCTAGAGATGGTTGGGGTAGACATTACCAAATGAGGTTGTGGATCTTGATGCTCTAGTGTCTAGCCTCATACACGTTTCTTAACCAAGTCATTGCAGCATATTTCCCTTGTAGAGCAAATAAGGACCAATAGGTGAACTTGTGTTATTCTACCTCTACTTATTAATGCTAGAGCATTTGTCTTTATGAGTCTGTGCTTCGTATTGTATCATTACAAGTGGGTATCTGCCTCAGTTTTGACAGGCGTGTCTGAGTTATTAACCTTGATCTGCAAAACTGGCGTTAGCAGCTTGCTTCATTTATAGAGTAAACAAGGACTCAACGGCAAGGAGAAACTAATGTATAGCTTAGAATTCTTTGGTATTTGATACTTCGAACTCTGTTCATCTTCTTTTCAGTTACTTCATACTTGATAACTGATATCTCTTGCAGTGTTCGCTACCCTTTTTGTGCTCTCCCTTGGGCCTCCCTACCAAAAGAGTGAATCTGGGTTTATATGGTAATCTGTGGGACTAAATAGTTGCCTTGGTACTAAAAACCCTCAATTTCAGGTCAAAGGTCTTTCGGGTGAAGAACTTGCTGCCCGTAATGATTTGGTTCTTGCACTGCCAGATAGAATAAATGCCATACCAGATGGCTCTGCAGCTCCACCCAAACAATCTGGAGGATGGAGGGCTTCAGGTTCTCGCACGGAAATTAAATTTGATTCAGGTGATTGATAATTTCTGCCATTTGACTGGTCTTCCTGTAAGTTGTTCTCTGCATGTGTATTTAGTGTCGTCAACGACAAAAAGTGCCCAAGGTCTGCTGGGGCTCTAAGTGACCACAATTAAAGCACGAACTTCTGAAAGAAAAGACGCAATGAAGAAAAAATAGAAGTATATATGTAATGCAAGAAACATACAATTACAAACACACAAAAATTAATTGAAAAAACTAAAATTATATGTAGTAAAAACATGTAGATTGAGTTCAAAATCCAACTTAATATTTTGTTTAGATGCAAAGATGCAGTTTTAAGTTTCTTATGCAGCTTAACTGACTAGTTCACTACAACAAAAAAAAATTGAATTAGCTACGAATCCATCACAGATATTCTCGTAGCTAACAGAACTTTGGGATAATCCATTTCTAATCCGTCACTAAATAGGTTTTCCGACGGACTTTGTTGTTTAGTTACAGAATTTGTCTGTTGTTAGTTCCTATATTCTTAGTAGTGGTTTTCTTCAAAGTAACATATTCACTCATAACATTTCTTTAACAATTAGTCTATCTTTTTCAGTTATATTTATTGTTAAGTGCGACCCTCTTCAATATAGAGCCTATTACGACTGATAAGGCTCGTAACTGTGCTCAAGCGCTTGCTAACCTAGGCGAGCCACCTAACCTGAGCTTCACCTAGCTTCAGGGTTTAAGTGCGACTAAATGGGCCTTTAACAACATAATTTATGACTTGAAAGTATTCATTCTTGTAGGCTACAGTTGATTGTTATTCACTTACAGAGTGTGCTTTGTTTACAGATGGACAATTTGACAATGAATATTTCCAACAAACTGAAGAGTCAAGTCAATTCAAGCAAGAGTATGAAATGCGAAAAATGAGACAGGCATGTGTTTTTTGGGGTAGTTTATCATGAATTTTTTTGAATTAAGTTTCTGTTTACGCTTCTTTGCTGCTTCCTGGACTATGTTTAAGATTTAGTTTTGCTTGTTGCACAGGACCAAGGTTTGGATGTCATAGCAGAAGGATTGGATACTTTGAAGAACATGGCCAGCGATATGAATGAGGTTTGCTGCATTTATGATTGCTATTTTGTATCATCCCAATTGACATAGGCACTAAAGATATGATGCAATGCATGCAGGAGTTGGATAGACAAGTTCCTCTGATGGATGAGATTGACGCAAAGGTTGGTAACTTTATTGGTTTTTGTAATAGTTGATATGGAAAGAATCATAGCTAAAATTGATATGGTTTGACTTCTCAATAGGTGGACAGAGCTACCGCGGACTTGAAGAATACCAACGTTAGGCTTAAGCATACAGTTAACCAGGTAACTGAATTACCGCTCTCTTCAGTTGCAGTAAGTGATCTTCACACAAGGATTACTCATGAGCTTTGATTGTTTTCCAGCTGAGATCTAGTCGCAACTTTTGCATTGACATCATTTTGTTGTGCATCATTCTTGGAATTGCAGCATATTTGTACAAGTGAGTTTCCAGATTATGTCTTGTCCTTTTTTCATCATTTCATCATATAATGTCAACAATCAAGACTGTCAGCCCCATTGATCGTTTTCATAGTTTATACTAGTGTAAAGATCCTAGCTAACTGGTTACTCTCATCAATTGCAGTGTCTTGAAGAAGTAAAACTCCGCTTTAGTGCCTGTTGGATCGACTTGTATGTTGGCCTTCATGATTCATTTTAGTTTTTTTCGGTGTGTATGCATGTATAACAAGTTATTATCGGTGATTAAGCCTAGCATTTGTATTCTACTTGTTTGTGTGTTTTACTCGTTTGAGATTGAGATGAAGTTATTGTTGTTTTCTATCTTTGGACAATGAATTTCCGGTTTTCTATTTGTGTACACATATTTTAATCCTACCTTTATATATGTCACTACTACATTTTTTAAAGACTTAACAAATGAGTTTTCAGTGTGAACATATTTTCTACTTATATTTATTAATTACGACAACAACATATTTGATATACGCATACTTTATTCCTACATAATGTCACTATTTGACTCTATGAAGACTTGACAAATGTATTTTGGTACGAATTTGCATAGATAGTTGTTTTTTCTCATATACGTTACATTTATTAATTATGACAACAACGTACTTGATGTATGCAAACTAAACTTTATTCCTATCTTTTCTGGGTGAAAAAGTTATTTTCAAATTTCAATGGATTCTCAACTTAAATCATGTTTTGGAACATGTTTGTACTTCACAACCTTTTCGCTAGAGAACTATATCAAGCTTACAAATATTTAAGGATTGTGAATAGAAAGTTGGCTAATGTTTCACAAAATAAAATACTTTAATGCTATTGTTAGTTAAAAAAAATATAGTTTGTCCATTTAAAAAAATATCTGGCCCGTCTAGCTCAGTTGGTAGAGCGCAAGGCTCTTAACCTTGTGGTCGTGGGTTCGAGCCCCACGGTGGGCGTTTGGGATTATTATTTTTAGCTAAAACAAAATTAGAATACAATAGGAAAACAAATATCTATATAATTTTTTAATATTTATTATTATTATACTTATATTAGGGATAATTTCACAGATTCACATATGACTTCATGACAATTTTTTTGGGTGATTGTTTAAATAATTGAACTGTACAAATACCGAAAACAAATTGAGATGGTTGGAATAGCTTGAAAATGTATAATTCTAATTATACACAATTAAGTAATTAATAAATTGATAATAAATACAATCGTTCGGACTGAATCATTATTACCCTAGTTAACGCAAGTAGTATGTCAACATATTCATATGATCAAAACTTTTTATCGTTGGAGCTTGAATTAAACTTATCAAATTTGCTTTTATGATAATCTATAACTTCGAAAATGATCTTATTATAACTATATATATATTCGAATTCATGCATGATCAAATTTTAAAAGTTTAACTTTTGAAATTCAAAAGATGCCACATATATAAATTAAAATAAAATGAGTGATTTTTGAAGAAAAGAAAATAATCTTCAAGTTTCAACTTATAATAATTCTTGCAATATAGTTTTTAATTAAAAAAAGTAAACGATAGATTCTCTCAGCTTTTTGTGTGTATTAGTTAGTCAATAATTTTTAGATATGAATCGTATATTCCCTTTATATATAATTGCCTCTTATTGTTCTGACTTCTGAACCTATGAATGTTATTCCCTCATCATATTAAATTAAATAGATATAGGTTCAACTAGTATTTTTCAAATTGAACTAACACGTATTTTATTTTTCTTAATATTAGCTACTAAGAAGTGTACACATTAGTGCTTTTTCATTGGTCAGAACTAGTATTAGTCATATTGATAACAAGACGTGCATCCCAGTTAACCTTTGACTTCCATAGTCCAAACCTCTAATTACTCTTAGTGGCCTACCACATCATTCCCCTTTACCCTCCAAATAAATTATACTCCCTCCGTTTCATTTTATATGAATTAGTTTGATTTCACACATAGTTTTTAAGAAAAAAAGGCTTTTGAAATATCTAGTCTAAAACAAGTGATAGATATTTGTGTGACTATAAATCATTTCATTAAGAATAAAATAGACATTTTAAAATTAAATTGTTAATTAATACAAAAATATGTCATTCTTTTTTAAACGGACTAAAATGAAAAGTGAATCATATCAAGTAATATATATAAATGCTGTGGCTTCTTTGCTCATTATCAAACCTTAAATCTCATCACTACTCTTTCTAAAGATGGACAAGAAGATATTATTTTTGTTTTTCTTCTGTATTACTCTGCACTTAGCAGCAATTGTATCTGCTCAACTTCAAGTTGGTTTCTACAATACTAAAACTAGATGTCCAGCAGCAGAAACCATAGTTCGAGATACGGTGCGAAGCCGGTTTTCATCGGATCGTACCATCACAGCAGCATTGCTGCGAATGTATTTTCATGACTGCTTCGTGAGGGTGAGAGAAATTTATTACTATATTTTTTTTCTATTATTTGATAAAATTTTGAAGTTATAATGTATAGTACTTTTTTCAGGGTTGTGATGCATCGTTACTAATAGACTCCAAAAACACGAAGAATAAGAAGTCAGAAAAAGATGCAGGAGCAAATGGATCGGTAAGAGAATACGGGTTGATTGATCAAATAAAGAGTAAATTAGAAGCTACATGTCCTAATACAGTGTCCTGTGCGGACATCATTGCATTAGCTACTCGAGATGCAGTTGCATTAGCTGGAGGACTGAACTACAGTATACCCACTGGCAGGCGCGATGGGCTAGTGTCTGACCCATCACAAGTGAACCTGCCAGGCCCTAGTATAACCGTGCCACAAGCAATTCAAACTTTTCAAAGCAAAGGATTTAATGTGAATGAAATGGTGTCGCTTTTAGGTGGCCACACAGTGGGAATTACACATTGTGGTTTTATTCAAGAGGATAGGCTATCGAGGGATGATGGAAGCATGGATAAGAATTTGTTTACTAGTCTTAGAAAGACGTGTAGTGCTAATGGTGGCTCGTCTGTGTTCTTGGATCAAAACACTTCATTAGTTGTTGATAACTCTTTTTACAAACAACTGAAATTGAAGAAAGGAATATTGAAGATTGATCAGTTACTTGAATCAGATAGATCAACTGCTGGGATTGTGACTACTTTTTCTTCTAATCCAAATGCCTTCCAACAGGCTTTTGCGAATGCATTGATCAAGTTGGGTAACACTCAAGTTCTTGTGGGGAAATCAGGTGAAGTTAGAAAAAATTGTAGAGCATTTAATCCTCCTCCAGTTCGCAGTAGTAATCCATTCCTCTTTGTGTTTGGCCCACAAGCTTAAGCTAGCTCCCGTTCCACCTTCAGCTTTGCTCAAAACTCTACCTCCAGTACCATTGTCAATTGTCGATGTACTATTCCCACAATTAACTTTGTGCATTTACGTTCTTAATTCATTATTTTGTAATTTGTTGTTGTTGGATCTATCATTCGTATTCTTTTTCGTAATTCCTCCTTATTAGAGGAAAAAGAGTTAAATGTTTGTAAACATGAGAATTAACGTTATATGAACTTGTATCAATGAGTGAAAGAATATCAAATTCTTATTTATATTTGTGTCATCATATATGTGTAGATCAATTCACTACTTTTTTTTGGGCCTCTCTTGGTCAAGAGTTGTCACTTTGTAATATATCTTTCAATTTTTTTCTACTATCTTCGAATGTATATAAATATTTAACAATTTTTTTTCCGATAAAGCAGTGTCACGTGACACCTTGGACCTTGGGCCTAAGTAGATCCGTCAATGTGCATAAACGATGCAATAAAGAAAAACATAAATATATATGTAATGCAAGAAACATATAAGGGATAATTGTACATATTGACAAATTATTAATTCAAATTAAATGATATAACCACACTTTGATTTAATTGTGCCCTGTAGCAAACTGTTTGCCAGTCGCCTCTCTCCCTCAAACTCTTGCTCGCCACTCTCCCTCTCTCACTCGCTCTCTCTGTCGCTCGCCTCTCTTGCTTTATACAAACAGAAATGTATAAATTGTGTTTCTGTTTGTATAAAGCGAGAGAAAATTGTATATACACATGCAAATACATATATCTTCGTCCTATACACTTATAATTATACAATACAAATATTTTCCTGTCCAGTTCTCTTTTGCATTTCTCTCTTTCTCGCTTTAAACAAACACATATTATACAAAATTCAATGTATAATTTATGTTTTGTATAAATAGAGAGAGAGAACGATATTTGATATACAAACGCTTTATTTCGATTCAATTGTATATAAATTCAAATTTTATACAGATATACAAACACATAAAATTAAATTGAGAGACTCTCAACGATTTATACAAACGAGAGGCTAACAACAATTTATACAAATGGCCTGCCAGCGAAATTATACAATTCTGAAGAGGAGCCAACGAATTATACAATTGCTTCTTTTTGTATATATGTATAGCGAA